AAAAAAAAAAAAAAAAAAAAAAAAAAAAAAAAAAGAAAAGGAGACAAATTTAACTGACACTTTATTTTTTTATATAACACAAAACATGCGCTTTGCATGCAAGGGGACAGAGACAGCTGAATAAACCCCAATAAAAAAAAAAGAGAAAAAAAAATAAATTTATATATATTTTTTTAATTATATTTGGGTGGTGGGGCTCGAACGCGGGGCCGCCGCAGACACAAGACGTGGGGATTCATCCTAAAGACAGAAACGCAGACAAAGACAAAGAAAATATATAAATATTTTTATAATATTTATATATATATAATAATATAATATAATACATTTTATGCTGCAGAGACAGAGATATAGATAAAGACAAAGACAAAGACAAAGACAAAGACAAGGAGAATGTTGTGGGGTTTATGTTGCAGAGACAGAGATAAAGACAAAGACAAAGACAAAGACAAATAAAATATTGTGGGGTTTATGTTGCAGACACAGATATAGAGATAAAGACAGATGTAAGATGTGGGGGCTCGTGCTGTACAGACAGAGAAAAACAAAGACAAAGACAAAGACAAAGACAGAGACAAAGACAAAGACAAAGACAAAGACAGGATATGTGGGGTTATGCTGCAACGATGAAGACAAAGACAAAGACAAAGAGAAGAGATATGTAGGTTTATGTTGTAGAGAGGTAGACAGAGAAAGAAAGAGAGTGAGGATCAACAAACACAAAGACAAAGACAAAGACAAAGACAAAGACAAAAATAAAACAAAAAAGAGGCAGCAACTATCCCCCTGCAGTGTCTTCGTCTGTCTCCTGTATATTTCCTCTGTCTCTATCTAACAAAGAAACAGAAAAAAAACAAAGACAAGCAAAAACAAAAACACAAAGACAAAGACAAAGACAAACAAAAACACAAAGACAAAGACAAACAAAAACACAAAGACAAAGAAAAACAAAAACACAAAGACAAAGACAAAGACAAAGACAAACACTGCTCACGGATAAATATAATAGTGCTCCCAGCCTGCTGTCTGCTGCACGCGGAGAACCTGCAGCAAGTACTCTTCAGTCAGCAGACCCTGCGGCCGGAGCCGCAGCTCCTCGCGAAACATATCGTATTGCTGTGCATGCACACGCACACACCCAACACACAGCCCCANAGCCGCAGCTCCTCGCGAAACATATCGTATTGCTGTGCATGCACACGCACACACCCAACACACAGCCCCACGCATGCATGCATGCATAGGGGTGTAAGAGCCACTGAAGACATATCCTATACTAAACAACTTGCATGCATGCATGCATGCATGCATGCACGCATGCATGCGTGCATGCATGCATGTTTGTTGTAGGCTGGAGCTGGGATCGTGTATGG